AAGATCAGAGAGTATGGTTGGTATGATTTCATCTCTCTTACTTTTGTTGAAGCTATCTCTGTGTATGTAGTCCATCCTTGAGAATATTCCATGTGGACTAGAGAAGAACGTGAAAGCAGCTGTTTGGGTATGCAAGGCTCTATAAATGTTAATTATGTCCAGTTGATCCCATGTGTCATTTAAGGATGTCATTTCCTTATTGATTTTCTGTTTGGATGATCTGTCTATATCCGACAGTGGAGTATTTAGTTCCTCTATTACGATAATGTTTTGATCTGTTTTTCCCTTTAGTTCTGTTAGTAATTGCCTTATATATTTTGGGGCTACCTGATTGGGAGCATAGATAGTAATAAGTGTTATGTCTTCTTGGTACATGATTCCCTTTATCATTATGAAGTGTCCCTCAGTATCTTTCTTTACCTTTTTGATTTCAAAGTCTATGTTGTCCAATATTAATACCGCTACTCCCACTTTTCTCTGAATGCCATTTGCTTGAAATATCATTTTCCACCCTTTTACTTTGAGTCTATATTTGTCTTTGGAGCTGAGATGTCCTGGAGGCAGCATATGGTTGAGTTTTGTTTTTTGATCCATTCTGCAACTCTATGCCTTTTTATTGGTGAGTTCACTCCATTTACATTTAGGGTGATTATTGAAATGTGAGGTCTTATAGCTATTTTATCTTTTGCTTTCTGGTAGGTGGGTGTTTCCATTGCTTCCTTGTAGGTGTGCCTATTTTTTTTATTTTGGTTGGATTTCTCTCTTGTCCTTTTATTTTCTATACTTCAGTTCTGAATCTTTGTTGTGTGGTTACCATTACAAATATGTAAAGGATAGTTATATATATATAGTTGTCCATTTACTTATATGTGTGTCTTATTCCACTTCCCTTTGCGAATTTGGATCTTTGACTCCTCCCCTTTTCTGTTATTGTTTCAGTTCGTCCCTATGTATGCTGAACGTTCATTATCGACTTGCTATAACAAATCTTTTCTTGTTTATTAAGATTTTAATATCTTCTTTATTATAGTTGCACTACTCTCCTGCTAGTCGCCTTATTCCTAAATATGTATTTTTTTTTTGTCATTTTGTTTTAGGTTAGCTGACCCCTTTCAGTATTTCCTGTAATGCAGGCCTCGTAGAGGAGAATTCCCTCAATTTTTGTATGTCTGGAAAGGTCTTTATTTCTTTTTCATATCTTAAGAGAAGCTTAGCTGGATAGATTATTTTCGGCTGTTCGTTCCTTTCATTTAATCGTTTGAATACTTGATTCCTCTACTTCCTGGCTTGTAAGATTTGTGCTGTGAATAGATGATAATCTAATGAATTTTCCTTTATAGGTTACCGTCTTCTTTTCCCTGGCTGTCCTGAGAATTCTGTCTTTGTTGTAGATATTCGTTAATTTTAATACAATGTATCTTGGAGAAGGCCTTTTTAGGTTGAGATAATTGGATGTTCTGTTGACTTCTTGAATTCCAAGCTCCAGCTCATTCCTTAGATTTGAGAAATTCTCGTCTACTATTTGTCTGAAAATGCTTTCTAATCTCTGCTCCTCCTCCCCTTCGAAAATAACCAATATTCTCATGTTTTTCTCCTGATTGTATCAGCTAGTTCTTGTATTTCTCTTACATTATTTTTCATTCTTTGGTTTCTCTCTTCTTCCTTCTGATTTTTTCCTAGATTTCTGTCTTTGATACCACAGATCCTTTCCTCCATTTTGTTGACTCTATTTCCCAAGCTTGCTATTTCATTTTTCATCTCTTGCAGTGTGTTCTTTATCTCCAGAAGGTCTTTTTGAGGTTTCAATCTTCTTGTAAAGAACTCAGTTTACTTATGTAATTGTTTTTTCAATTTCTGAAATTGTTGATATGAATTGTTTTGGATTTCATTGAGTTTTTTCAGAAGTACCATTCTGAATTCTCTGTCATTTAAGTTGCATATTTCTATATCTGTAAGCTCATTTTCTGGAGATTGTTCTCTTTCTTTCTGAACTGCCTCGTCTCCTTGGTTGTTCATGGTGTTTAATGGACTATTTCTCCACCTAGGCATTAATGGAAGTGTGTTCTGCTTTTTTTTCCAGAAAGATGATTTATTGTATAAAGGTCTCTCTTTAGCCTGTTACAAAGAAGGCATTTTTGTTTTGGTTTCCAGTAGGTGGCATGTGAGCCTCTTGGATCTCTGCTTTGTATAATGTCTTAATAACGCCTTTTTTTTCCTCATAGTTTTTCAATCACACTTGCTACTCTTGGTCTCAGTCCCTGTCAGTGTTAGCGACAGTATCGGTAGTGTTTGTTCAGATTCCCCTGGGGCTTTGCAGTGTTCGGTCTCAGAAGATATGGGAGGAGGGACCCTCTGGATTGGGGGATGCGGGCTGCAGCTCAGTTTCAGTTTTGCAAATGCAGCTGGTTAAAATGAACTGTTTTTTCTCTGCCATCCCTGCTTTCCTGCCTTTCCCGCTTTTCTGGTTTCTGCCCTGATTCCTGGGCACTGCCACTGGCTGCGTGGAGCTTACAGCTCTCCCAGGTAGTGCTGTTTAGGAAAGTCGCCGCATATTCTCCCCTACCCCTCCTCCTATAGGGAGCTCCTGCTGTGAGAGGCAGCTTTCTTTTTTTCTCCCAGTCTATCACCCAACATCGGGGTTCTGACCTATGGTAGCTCTTATGCCTATGTTTGAGTTTTAGATGTTCAGCTTATTGTTGTTTCAAGTGGAGAGATCTGGGGATGTCTTTCAGTCCACCGTGTTTCTGGTGTCCGAGTCCTTTTTTTCCCCTGGCTCCTCTAAGCTCTGTGCAAGTTGCTTCAGGAACATATGCACAGCTGCTTGCTGTGTAGTTGGAGTTGGGGATAGGTAGCTACTACTGTACTACGAGCCAGAATTGATCATAATTTATGTCCAAGTTTTTTCTTGGAAGTTGCAAGCCTTCAGCAGATTCTAGAGTTCCAAAAAGTTTATATCAGACAGATTCTGTCAGTGCAATTTTTTTCCAGATGGGAAGACAGATTCTTGGTGCTTCCTACTCCATTATCTTTCCATAATACTAGCTTATTGACTTTTAAATTCAAGTCTCATGTAGATTTCATTTAAAAGAGACAAATTCTTAAGAACCTCTACTTTTGACCAAAAAAATGTATGCTAACAAGACAAATTTATAAATAAAACTTCATAACCAATAAAATTCATAATCCAAAATTATTCAAACTAATATTATTCATTGAAATGGGTCAATGATATTTTGCTCAAAGTAAATCACTGCTATAAATGAAAATATGCAGTTTGTCTTTTTTTGTGGTAAAATATATATAACATAAAATTTACCATTTTAACCGTTTTTAAGTGTACAGTCTAGTGGCATTAAGTATTTTCACATTGTGATGCAGCTATCACCACTATCCTTCTCTAGAACTTTTTCATTGCTCCAAAGTGAAACTCTTTACCCATTAAACAATAACTCCACATTCTCCCCTTTCCCAGCAACAGATTCTTTTTTTGAGTTTTACGTATTTATCTTTTAATGTGATGATTTAGTTCTCTTATCACTTTGCTCTATTGGAAATACCTTGACATTTCATTTATAGTTTGCTGTGACATTATTTAGTATTCACTTGACAGGAACTTGTCATTTATAAATGAAGATAGCCTCTCTCTTTTTTTCATTATTTTTCTATGTTTAAAGTAATGGTTTTCATCAATCAGTGGTGGCACATACAAAATAACACATGGTATTCTCTCAGAATATACTTATATTAATATTTCAAATTAGTACTAAAACACAATTTTAAAAAGTTAACTACAAATTTTGTACAAGTTTTGGATTTCCAGTGTGAAGAATACAGAGTTAGGTTATTTCTTAGAGACATGGTATAAGGACATAAGAGCATAGGCTAATGTAGAGGAATTAGGAATAGAAAAATAGGGATTGCTATGTGAAAGAGTAGAAAGTATGGCAGTAGATCCAGATATGAAGGGAGTAATGGAGCCAAGGGTGACTCCAAAGATATGGAGACTGAGCTATAAAGGAACAACTTTTACCATTAGTGTAAGTAGGGGAATTTAGAGGAAAAGCTAATTTGAGGGGAAAAGAACATTTAATGAGTTATCAAGCTAAATCTACTTTGCAGGAAGAAGTGATATATGGTTAGAGGTGTGCTTTAGGATTTACTGGCATAGAGGAGCTGAGATTAATAATCAAATATTTCTCTGGAATGAGAAAGTGCATATTTAGGATAGCAAAGGCAAGAGTGTTTGGGTTTTCCTCTAAGGTTGCAGGTAAGAAGCAAGGACAGTGGAGAACCCAAGATGTGAAATGAGAATCAGGATAATCATGCCCCAGAATCCAAGGAAGGCATGTTTTAAGATGGCTGAAGTCAACAGTATAGGATATGGCAGAGAGTATTAAGGCAATAAAGTATGACAAAAACTAAAATACCATTCAATGCAATTATTAGCTGAAATTTTATTCTTTTTCAAGGAAAGTAGAGTTACACGTTTTCAAAGAAGAATATCTGATTGTAGTGTTGTTTGGAGAGATTAGCTATTTCTTATTCCTTTGGAATTTTTACCCCCTGTATTCTTAGATTTCCTGAGAATCTCTTTTTTAATATAAAATGCTCTATATGATACTTGTTTTGGAAGTTGCAGCTAACTAATTTATTTTGTTTTTAATTTCATAACATCTTTTAAAATAATTTGAGATGTTTTAGGATATCAGACATTTAGGTTGGAACATTTTAAACATTCCTAAATGGACACTTTAATTTCACAGAGTACTCCTGTTATAATTTATTTTACAGTTGTTTCCAAGATGTAGAAATATGGTAGTATGATTTGGTTAAGTTGGTTTTATGTTGTGAGTAAAGGTTGCAGTGTTAGTAAGGCATATTGGTTTTGAATTGGTTTTAATGGGAAGAGAGTAAGGAGGACAAAATGGGAATTGTTTGAAGAAATTTGTAGATATTAGGTGGATTCATTGGAGTAATTATTTCCAATATTTGCTTTTTAGAAAATCATTTCAAGAAATATACCAATCAGATTCTGAAGGATGGGAATCTTTAAAAGATCTGAGAAGTAATCTTGGACATTTAGAATCAGAACTTCTATTTCTAAGTACGCTTACTGGTATCAATATAAGAAATTACTCCAAGAAGACAGAGAACCTAATGAGCACTGAAGTGGCGGAAAAGAGTAAGTGTTCATTTTAATCTAGAAGTGTTGTTGAAGCTTACCCTGTTAAGCATGGGAAATTGATTGGGATATGGTTGAATTAAAATTCTGCAGGGTATTTGAATGTGTGGTCGTGGTACATTTGTTTTGTAGGGTGTCTTTTGAATATCACTGTGTACATAATACTCTTAAAAGCTGCCTGAGGTAGATACTAAAGAAGACCGTCTCTCATAACTTTAGTCAAGTGACAGCAATAAGGGATTGTAAAAACAACAATACCATTAATTTTGTAATTCTTAGGAGTTACCCACCACTGACATGAGAGCTGCTTCATCTGCAGTGCTGTAATCCTAATTAATATGGCCTGTGGCAAAATTAAATGTTTCAGCAGCTGGACTATTTGACTGAGGAGGGTTTTGGGTCTCAATAACTAAGTTTTATTGCCAAAGATCTGTGATGCTCTAACAGAAAAGAGGAAGCTAATTCAGCTGTGCAATTGGATATCAGGAACTTTTGACTAAAGTTAGCATTCCCTAAAGAAGAAATCACTTTCGGAAATGCTTCCTGATTTCCATCAAAATAACCTTCAAGACAGCAGAAGAGGGAGAGTGGGCAGCTCACCTCAGTAGAAGTTTGAATTTCATATAGAAATGAATGATGGAATTTAGACACTTTAGGTACTTAAAAGGAAGAGATGGAGTACAGAGAGGATGGAGAGTGAAGTTAGGCCATGTATAAGACTTTTACAGTGCAAATGTCTCAGTCTTCTTATTTTGAGCCCCAAGTTCACCCCCATCTGTTGATACTTGGTGCTGCTGATTCAGAATGCCTTTCTGGTATTCTGCTATGTAAATGGTCTTGAATCCGAGCTTTCCCCATTGCTGGCTTGGTTTCAGTTTTCAGTTCTACTTTTCCATGTGATACCTAGTTCGTCCATCTGATTTTCAGCTTCTAAAATTATGTTACTATCATCTTTCTCCTACTTATCCTTGTAGAATTGTGCTCTCCTCAGAATACCTTTATTAGTCAAACTATGTGGTGATAAAGTCAGAATGGTGGTTATCTCTTGGGGAGGGGAGTAGCGTATAGCCTGCGAAAGAGCTTGAGGCAACTTCATGGGGTACTTTATAATTTCTGTATCTTGATCTCAGTGGTAGTTACATAGAAAATACATATGTAAAAAAATATTGAGCTGTATACTTAAGAATAGGTCATTTTATGCATTTAAGTGTATTCAGGTTATACTTCAAAAAATACTTTTGCTATCATTTTAATAAAGTTCTAAGAGAGAGCACATAAACACATATATTCAATTTAACATCTTTAACTAGAACCAGGTAATGTTGAAAAAATGAAAAACATCTATCAGTTACCATGATTCAAACTTCTCTAGGGTGGTACTAACATATTTCTATTTCTTAATCTTTGATATATTTGAGAAATAGACAATATAAGTTGATTTAATCCTATTTTACAAAGGTAATCAATTTGGTGCACATTATTCTAGATACTTTCAATGCAAATACTAACGTTTACTTCATGCATATGCCCATATGAATAGTATAGGTATTCACACAAAATTAAATAACAGGTATTTGAAGAAAATTATTATTTGGAAACAAAATATTTATTTTTCTGTATTACAGATATAAAGAAAGTTCTACAGAGTCACAGATTATCAGGAAATTGCCACATGATTACATTTCAACTTGAATTTCAGATTCTGGAAATCCAGGTAAATTAAGGAGTATGTTGTGATAACAGATTCTTTTGCTGTGAAATAAAAAATTCCTACCCACCCCCAGCCTCCAGTAGTGGCTGAGCTAAGGAAGAGTTTATAAACCAGGGTCCCCTTGTAGCACATTTTTGCAAAGTGGTATCATTTCAAAAGTTTTTAAGGTATAATTATAGTAACCCAGCAACTGCATATGGTAGGGTTGTTGTCAAGGGCATAGGTGCTTTATTGGAGCCACAAGTAGCCAAAAGCTCCTGGGCTCCCAGTGTAATCCCTGAGATCATGGAAACAGTCCCAGAAGCCCTCACTAGTTAGCTGATATACCAGCCATGTATTATCCATTATCTATTGCTGCTTAACAGATTTTTCCAAAATTTAGTGGCTTAAACAACAACAATGAAAACATTTTTTATCTCATCTGTTTTTTTTGTGGGTCGGGAATTTGGGAGCCTCTCAGTTGGATGTTCTTGCTTAGGGCCTCTCATGAAGTAATGGTCATCTGGGACCACAGCCATCTGAAGACTGCTCAGGGCTGGAGGATTAGACTCCAAGGTGGTTCATGGTTATGCCAGAAAGTTCTGAACTGCTGAGATACAACATAGGAGGAAAATAATTTTGGCTAAGCTTTTCACATAAATTCAGGAATCAGACAGAATGGTAACATGCAACACCTGACCAGGGTAAAGCAGAAGAACAAGTCTCAGACACTTTTAAAGGCTGGCTCAGAGAAGAGTGGTATCCAGGCATAATTTTGAGAATTGACAGGGGCGAGGCTTATGCTTTGATAGCAGAAAGCACTTTCAAGTAGTGAGTTTTGCCAGCTGGGCCAACAAGGAGTATGTGTAGAGGAAAGGATCAAGGAAGGGCAGGCAGGCTGCTTTTGGCCTTAGCTTATAAGATAACTAAAGTGGGTGTAGACTGGTCATCACACCGAATCCTATGGACAAGGTACTTGCTTGCATTCATGGTCATGTGCCAAGATTCCACATCCTTGTCCTCAGCCACAAAAACAGCTCCATAGTCCCTTTTTATATAGGACAGGAGTTGATGTCAAGTAACCAGGATCCTGCCTCCTTAGGTATCAGACAGACACCCCCAACTAGTCAAGAGTGCCTGGGTCCAATTACTGGGCTAGAAGATTTTGCTTCTCAAGAACTCTTTGCAGTCCATGGTCTTGATTGTCATCACAAATCCTGGCAGGCTGAGAATGAGCTACAAGTTTTCTAGGCCCCTCATCTGATGACAGAGCTCCCAGCTTGCTGTTACCTCAAACTGTCCCCTTTCAACACTGCCAGGGTGACCAAGAACATCCACAGTGTGGTATTGCCAAAGCTGATTGAACAGAATACAACACAGGAGCTTAGGTGATGAGTGGCCCTAGGGGAGTTATACTGTTCGCAGGCTGGCACCAGGCTTTGGAACCACTCAGGGTTACCAAAGTGATATCATTGTTCTGCCTGACCTCAAAGATCATCTGCTGAAGACTAAAACAGGTCATGGACCCAAATGGAATGGTCTCGTTTGGGATAGACAGCACATGCCAAGACCCCGGGCTTCTCCATCGTGTGGCCCAAGAACCCCTAGATGTGCCCCATTGCAGAAGGTTGCATTATAGAAGGACCAACTACATTTTCTTTCTTTGTGGCCAGTGTGATCCTAAACTCAGAGTGGTGATACATCAAATGCATCCTGGCCTCCGTTCATAGGCCAGGACTACAGGCCATATCCTAAGTAGCTTTGGAGTCCTGCAGGTTTTTTCTATTATAGGTGTTCATCTTTTCCCATAGTTATTCCATGGGTTATCTGGGGAGAAGTTATATTATGGGCAAAATTAGGCTTGCTCTTGAGAGGTTGGTCTACAAGTCCAACTGAAAAAAGAGATCGTCCTCTAAAGTTGAGGTGAATGAGCTACTCAGTGGAGCTGGACATTCTAAGATGCACAAATATTTATCAGTGTGCTCATTAGTAGAGCTATGGCCTGAGAGATAAAATAGACTGTATATTTTAACTTTATTTTAAGTCGCATACTTTGGTCACCTTAAACCCCTGAAGGAAAGCATCAAGCAGTTTGATTCCATCAGGAGTCAGATCAAAGATGAGGTCACAGTTTAGGGACATTTTTATAATATGATGTGCTTCTGAAGAATGGCTATTCCCTGGTCAGAGGCATTCCCAGGGTGAACTGACAATGGGCCCCTGCAGCTCTCACAGTGGTTTAGTTTGCTGGTCCTGGGTGGCTGCTTTGAGGCAGCACAGACAAGACCGCAGCTATGTGGATCCTGCCATACAGGCCCTGCTCCCCCTACTGCAGTGGCCATGTTTCCTGCCTCCTACCAGGCAGTGGTAGCACCAGCCCAGCCCTTCCCTCCACATCAATAGTATTTTAAGCTAATATTCTGATCCCATACCACTAAGGCATAATTGAAAATTTTGTGACAATCTAATAATGGCTTAAAGTTATACCATTAGCTCACATGATGAACGAATCAGAATTAGTTGAGCTGCACATGACAGAAAACTTAGAAAAAAGGTGGTTGCAGGTACAAGTTTATTTCTCTATTGCTTAAGCAAATTGCAGAGTAAGTTTTCAAGGGCTAGTATGGTGGATTCATGATCATCAGGCTCCGCTGTCACCACATGGCTTCTAAAATCATGGTGTGAATCACTTTAGCATTTCAGGCATCAGGAATGGGGATGGGCAAACAAGGGCCCACCTTTGCTATTGAGAAAACTTTTTAGAAGTTGTAACACCCATAATTTTCATCTACATTCTGTTGGCTGATAAGTTAGAGCAAGGGAGGCTGGAAATTTAGTCTTCATTATATATGGCCATGTGGCTAATGAAAATGTGGGGCAAGAATGAAGTGCAAAATTGGGGAATACCAGCAGTTTCTGTCCCAGATGCTTTAGGGAATGCAGGAAAAAAACCTGAAAGAAATAGTTGATATTCTTGGAAAGACACAGAGCATAGTAATTGTCTTTTACATTTCAAATTATGTAGGTGTTTTTAAACTGTTTGGTTGACTTGCTACAGGAAGAGCAAGTTTTCCCTGGCTGTGTTGAGAACACTCACTTTCTCTATACCTCTTTCCAATTTTATGATTCTTCTTGAGGACCAGATTGGTAAGCAAGATCTTGTAATCACAAACCATTTTAATTATTTTACTTTATTAATTTTTATTTTTTTATTTTTATTTTTTAGGCAAGTCAACCCTTAGTTGACCTCACAGATTGCAAGGACCTTGTCAGCTTACAATCCCTTATTTTTTTTTTTTTTTTAATTTTTATGCCTACAGCACCTGATCTTCCTAGGTGGTCTCCCATCCAAGTACTAACCAGGCCCGACCCTGCTTAGCTTCCAAGATCAGATGGGTTTGGGCTTGTTCAGGTTAGCAAGGCCATAGACACAAACAGTTTTCTAATCAGCAAAATTTTAGGGATAACTCATGTGGGACACAGGCATTTTTGGAAAATAAAGGAACAAAGGACTCATTTTTAATTTTTGTTGCTTAGAATTCTGATGTAATGGGGTAATGAGAATTATTTTGAAATTTTTACTAGTGGTAAACCCTCACATATTCTAGGCCTACTCATATAGGTATACCTTTAGAAATATATTTCTAGTAGAATTGCTGAGTCAAAGGAGATGTACATGTAAATTCTGATTGATGGTACTAGATTGCCTTCTAAAATGGTTTTACCATTTTACATGTTGAACAAATTTTTATAGTTAAGACTGATGGAAAAAAAAAAACTGATGAGGACACAGTGACCTTCTGTGTTCTAAAACATTTTTTTAAATAAAATTTCCACCAGAGGGAGATGTTTAGCTATCAAAAAAATTTTAATTTAAATAATAAAGCTGTCCTACTTATAGAATGGTGTTATAATAAAACACAATAATACAATAGTAAAAGCAAAAGTCACCTAAAATCACATTAACAGAATGTTGGAACCAAAAGTGACTTTATATATTATCTAGGTCAGCTCCGTAATTTTATACAGAAACATACCCGGAGAATTTGAATGATCACTCTCGTTGGCACAGCTTTCGTTGTCAGATGTGGTTGGAACATGCAACTCCATTCCCCAGATTTACTGTCTGGTGTTGTTAGTGCTGTACTATTTATGCGGAATTGTAAGAACATCAGAGTTGACACGTGTCAGCATTCATAGTCCATGCAGTGTAATAAATAAGATGGTTGAAAGTTTGTGGGAGAGGGATGGAGTAAGTATCTTTTCAAAACTTCTCTTCTTTAAACCCAATGAAATGAATAAAACTATTCAAAAATAGGGAAATTTTTTAATTAAAAAAGAATAAAATCCTGTCACAGGCTCCAAAGAAATGTACCTAATGATGATAATCAAATGTGAATGAAAGAAAACACTGAAATCTTATATAGGATGCTTCATGAGGAGTATATTAATTTTGCAAAGTTAACAGGACCCTTTTCCTGAATGTCTCTACCTATAATCCTTAAGTCGTAGAGAAGAAGAACTTTGGACTTAAGTTAAATGGACTGTGGTAGAAAGGAATGTGTTGATGAGACTCAGGCTGGAGATTTGAGGTCAGCTTGTTTCTAAGCTCCATTCCCTCCTTTACTAATTGGGGAAGAGTGACCTGGTTAGCAGTATGACAAGTAAGAGAGAGATGGGTAAATAGCATGTATCTTGAAGTCAGCTTACCAGTGGCTAGACAGAATCAAGCTCCACCAAAAAAAAAAAAGAGAGAAATAGAGGGGCTAGTAAATCATAGACTCTATGCTGACAGGATTATTTGCCTAGCCTAATGGATGAAAGGCCAAAATTAACACACCCACACATACTCAAACAAAAGATAAGACATGCCTCAGATTTTTTTCTTTTTTGTAAAAACTCTATTGAGATATAGTTCACATATCATATAATTCAACCATTTAAAAAGTATACATTCATTAGTTTTTAGTATATTCACAGAGTTGTACAACCATCGCCACTTCAATTATAGGAAATTATCACCTCAAAAAGAAATCCCATACTCCTTATTACCTCTCAATCCCCCGCCCCCCCTTCTTCCCAGACCCAAGCAACAACTAATCTCTTTTCTACCTCTATGGATTTGCCTATTCTGGACATTTCATGTAAATGGAATCATAATATGTGGTCTCTTTAATTGGCTTCTTTCACCTAGCGTAATGTTTTCAAGGTTCATTCATGTTGTAGCATGTATTGTTACTTTATCCTTTTTCTTTTCTTGGCTGAATAACATTCCATAGTGAGGATATATCACAATTTGTTTATTCATTCATCAGTCGATAGACATTTGAGTTGTTTTCACCTTTCGGCTATTATGAGTAATATTGTTATAAACATTCATGTTCAAGTGTTTAAATAGACATGTTTTCACTTTCCTTATGTATATATCTAGGTGTAGAAATACTGGATCAAATTCAACTAACAGATGATGACTAATGATGTTGAGCATCATTTCATATGCTTATTGGCCATTTGTATATCATCTTTGGAGAAATGTTGTGATCCTTTGCTCAGTTTTTAATTGGGTTGTCTTTTTATTATTTGAGTTGTAAGAGTGCCTCTAGAATGTGTGTTTTTGATTACAGTGGTATATGCCCACAGATAGCCTACTTAAACTGCAGCTATTCCTAACAATTCCCACTGTACCTTCGAGCAGCTAAAAAGCTAAACGAAGATTACAAACCATCAATATTCATTTTTCCAGCAAGTCAGATAGTAATCCTACAAATGAGGAAGAGCTGAGGAGCTCAGTCTTTCTTAGGAAATAGCAAAAATTTTTAGACCTATTCCTATTAACAAAATTCAAAGCACAAAGATGGTGCAGAGTTCTTTCATCATCTTTTAGGACTTATGTAAAACCACTACCATGAAAGGAATTAATAAGAAAATGGAGATAAATGCACTTTGGAAGAATTAATCCAAGAAATACAAGAACATGCTATATAAAAATTGTTCTGACTCTCAAATGAAAGCATATAAAGAAAATTTAGTAAGAGTAAAAGAGAGCTGAGAGGGAGGACGGGGGAGAGAGAAGGAAGGAAGGTAGGAAGGAAAAGGAAGGAAGGAAGGAAGCAAGGAAGCAAGGAAGCAAGGAAGAAAATGATGATTATAGTGCTGAAAACTGCATTAGAAGTAGCCAGGAGTAGAATATAATATGGAGGATAGACTTGAGAAAAATCACCTGTAAGAGCAATTAAAATGAAAAAAAATCTGGAAATAGACAATGGAGAGTCAATATATGATTTTTCCAAAAAAAAAGAATAGAAAAAATGTGAGAGAAATTATAGGCAAATATGTAGTAGAAGAAAATTTACTAAAGAAGAAAACCTGAGTTTGCAGTTCAAAATATGTAACAGTTTATTTAGCAATCCCCATTATTGAATGTAGAGTTTTTGGGGGGAGGGAGGTTTTTTTGTAATAAGTAGCCAGAAGTCTTTGTCTTTATTACTTTAAGATAGATTCTTAGAAGTCAAATTGCTGGAACAGAGACTGAATGTGTTAAGTTACACATTGCCCAAATGATTTTATAGAAAAAAAAAACAAAACATCATCTCATTGTTTTAATTTACATTTATTTTATTACTAGTGAGAACGAATGTTGTTTTTCATGTGAATTGTCTTTTACTTCTTTGACTTTTTAGTTCATGTTCTTTGTCTTTTTCTTTGTAGTTTTCCTATCTTCTTGTTATATTTATGGTAAAAATTTTCCTGTTTATTGCTTCTCTTTTAGTCATAGTCATTTTTATATAGATATTTTGACTTTTTTATGTAATTATATTTGCTTATTTTTCTATTATTGTTTGCTTAGAGATTTCTTCCTTACTCACTTATTAACTTAAATGTCTATATTTCCTCTTAATATTTTATGGTTTCAGTTTTTAAGAAAGTAATTCATTTAAAGTTCATTTTGGGTTTTGGTAGCAGGCGAGGATCTAATTTTATTCCTTTAACAAATAACCAATATTTCAGTACCTTCTAATGATTACATTTTCCTCTTACTTGGTGGCATTTCATTTTCATATTTTTAAGCTATTTTTGTCTTTTTATTTTATTTAAAAGTTACTGTGCTCTGATACATATATATTTTTTTTAAATTTTAGAATAAGGAGAATTTATCTTCTGTTATTACTGACCTCAACATAATAATGGAGCCCACCTCATATTCAGAATTAAGTGAATTTGTGTCCAGGTAAGATATTTTAGAGATTTATTTTTTTAGGGATTGTTTTCACTCTATACTTTTGAATTTATAAATAAATATCAAAATATTTCTGAAAGCATCACACTATTATGGCTTATATTTAAGCCTATATTCTCTATATTATTCTTTCACTCGATAAAAATTTACTATGCTTTCACTATGCACTAAGCATTAAAATTAAAATGTGAGCAAAAACATATAATCTTTGATCCTCATAGAATTTGTAGCCTAGTCAGGTATTAAATAATCACAGAAATCTAAAATTATGCCTATGTTAAGTGCTACAGGGAAGAGTTGCATAATGCTTTTGAAGCACACATCAAAAATTTAACTTTGTGGGAGAACATGGAATGAGTTCCTGAAACTTGAGCTGACATCTGAAAACTTAGTAGGCATAAACTAACAAAGAGATCTTCAACATAATAGCTTGTGCATAGGCACTGTGCTAGGAGGGAGCATGGCATCTGTGAGCAACTGGCAGGATGCCTTAACCATTCGAGGAAGGCAAGAGCAGGGTAGTGTGATATAAAATGAAGCTAGCAAAGTATGGAAGGTCCACATTATATGGAGTTTGGTATAAGGAGTTTGATCACAGTCCTAAGATCAAAGCTGTTGAAAGGTTTCAAGCAGAGTCTAAGAAAGGCAGAGGTGTGACATCCTAGAAAGAATTATTCTGGATGCTGAAGGAAGAAGAGAATGAATGGGTGCAATAGTGGATGCAGGAGGGCCAATGACTAGGCAGTTAAGACAGTTCAAGCAAGAGAAGTTTATAGTTTGGACTAGAATAATGGTAGCTGGGTGGATTTGGGGATACTTAGGAAGTATAATTGAATGGGCATGGTGTTGGTTGAATAAGAGGGGTCAGGAGTTATTGACAGGGAAAAACTTCTTGATGATTGTGATTGCAGTAGTTGAGATAGGGAAAGTTGGAAGAGGACCGAGTCAAATGAGATTGTGATTTCATTTTGGACGTATTGAATTTGAGTGCCTGTGAAACACCAAAGTAAAAATATGGAGAAGGCAGCTCAGAAAAGGTGTAGGTATGAGACATAACATTGGAGTTATCTGCCAGTAGATAGAGGTTAAAGCCTTGTGCAGGAATGAAATTGCCTATGGAGAGAATATAGAGTGAAAATAGGAAAAGGACTGGAACTGAACCATGAGGAATTCTAAACTGCACTGCTGAATAGAAGAGAAGGATCCTGCCAAGGAATTTAAAAAGGAACTGTTTGAGAGGTGGGAGGAAAATCAGGAATGTGTTTTTGACCATTGACAACTGGGTATCTTTCACATCTTTAGATACCCTTTCAGTGTCTTCTGGATTGCATAGGTTGTGACAAGTAGTCTGTTAATATTGTTATTTTCTCATTGTGTGTATTTTGGTCCACCTTCAAACCTTTCTCTTAATTTCTCTTTTCCACAGTTTGTGCTATATCTAGGGTGTATTTGTGTGAAAATTTTCCACCATATCTTTTCAAATACTTCTTCTGTTCTCTACTTTTCTGTAACTCTAATTATGCATATGTTTGACAATTTGATATATTGTCTCAGTGTTTGGATGCTTTGTTCAATGCCTTTCACTCCTTTTATTTTTTTCCATTTCAGTTTGGATAATTTCTTTTACCCTATCTTCAAGTTTACAGATTCTTTCCTCAACTGTAGTCCAGTCTGCCAGTGATCCCATTGTAGGAATCTTTTATCTCTAATGTAATGTTTTTTAGTTGTAGCATTTTCATTTGATTCTTAAAATCTCTCTCTGCTGAAATTTCCCACTTATTCATGCATGTTGTCCAACTTTTCCACTAGATCTCTTAATGTATTAGTCAGAATTATTTTTTATTTAATGTTTTATTATGGAAAATTTCAAATATATATAAAAATAATATTATGATAATTAACTTGCATCTACCCATTAGGCACCTTTAACAGTTATCAATATTTTGCCAATCTTAGTTCATCTATTCTTACACAGTTTTTAACTTTTAATTTTGAAATAATCATAGGTTCATGGGTATTTGCAAAATAACCTATATATAAAAAGATTTCAAACACCCTCATCCAGCCTCCAACAATGGTAACATCTCATGTAATTGTGGAATGCTAACAAAACCAGAAAACTGACATTAGTAAAATCCAGAGTTTTTTCAGATTTTACCAGTTTTATAAGCATATCTATGCCATTTTATCTCCTGTGTAGCTTCTGTGAAACCACCACCACATTTAAGATACAAGATTATTTCATGGTTCCTTTGTAGTAGCTCATATTTTTTCCCCAATTTTTTTTTATTGTGATAAAATATATATAACTTAAATTTACATTCTTAATCATTCTTAAGTGTAAAGTTCAGTGGTATTAAATATATTCATAATGCTGTACTACCATCACCATCATCCATCTGTATAGCTCATTGCATCTTGTAAAATTGAAACTGTATATACATAAGCAACATCTCCCCATTTCCTTCTTCCTCCAGCCCCTGTCAACCACAGTCCTTCTTTCTGTCTCTATGATTTTTAATCATAGTTATTTTATAGTCTGTCTGATATTCCCAACATCTGAATCATCTTTGAGTCTAATTCTTCTGATTAGTTTCCACTGAGTAGTTTTTTCTTGAGTTTTTGTCTCATAATTTTTTTATTGAATGATGGACTTTATCTACAGTAAAATGGTAGAGACTGAAGCAAAGAGTATTTATGCCCAGAAATGGGCACATTTCTTTTATCAGGCTGTTAGTATGGAGATTAATTCAAGGTAGGCAGCAGTTGAGCTGGGTTTGGGATTTTTGTTGCTTTCATTACCTTCAGGCACGATAGGCTTCAAATACTTCCAGCAGTGAATTTAAATTCAATTCTTCTTTATGTTGAGGATGGGATTTTGAGAACTGGAGGGTTTACCTCAGTGTCCCAGCTCTGCTTGGCTCTCAACAGTCCCTATGTGTCTTTACCTCAGAGGGAAATCTTTCTTTGCACTTGACGCTCCATTAGCAGTAGGTGATGCTTGTTACTTGGTGTGAAGTTCACGGTGAGAACAAAGGGAATCCTATGTTTTCAGTATTGGGCAGCTCCTGTGGACCTGTGCCTTGGAGGTAGGGCTCTCCAGTATTCCTGCTCCTTCTTCCCAGTGCAGCCAAACTCAACCTGGGTCTGTAAATGGTCTTGGGTTCCTTGTTCCTCCCATAGTGGTAGCAGACATAGGCTTGGTACTAGTGTAGGTTCCTGGGCCCAGTGGGTTTCCTGCCCCTCTACAGAACAGAAGGTTTTTGTCTCTGGCCCCATTCCCGAAACAATGGATCTTTGCCTTGGTAGCAGGAGTGTTTACTGCCTCTCTCCCAGAGTCAGATAAGTTTGACTTCTGCTTCTCTCTTGAAGTAAGGGATTTTTTTCTTCCATTACTTTGCTGCCTCTTCTTCAATGGCTTAGGATGTTTCTTTCACGTCAGAGAAGAGTTCTGGATTCATTTTGTACCCTAGCAGCAGCTGATCACCTCTTCATGCCTGTGCCACTGGTGGGAGCTCTCTCCAGGCTGCTGCCATGACCCCAATCTTTCTGATGGAATCCCTTTGTGTCTCGGGTTCCCATCTGTTCTATGGTGATATTCTACTTCACATTTGTCTTTAAGAATTTGTTGAAATTTTAGCTGATTTCTTGTTATCCACTTGTGTGGTGGCTGCTTCCCTCCTCTATGTTTAACCAAAGATGAACAGTTTATGTTTCCTGCCCTTCTTTGAGGGAGAGAAATGTTACTTTACTTGGTTACCTTGTGACTTCAAGTCTTTGATGAGCTAAAGAAAGGTTATGATTTTATAGATTATTCAGAATTTCCTTGATGTTAGGTTGAGATTAACCTTCTTTGCAGCTTTTTGCATCCTAAGTAGCAGCAGAACTCTTTCCTGATTTACTTTGCTTCTCATTCTGGAGTTTGAGACATATAATCTTTTTATCTTCTGCATCTGATTTACCCTTTCTTTATATCTTATCTCTTCATTATTCTGTGCTTATTTCTAATTATTCCTCAGGTCTATATTTCAGTAATTATTTTTTCATTTTGTGACTAAACTGCTCTTAAAACCCCATCCATTGAGTTTTCAATTTCACTGACCATACTTGTCTTTTATAACAGTTCTATGTATCTCTTTTTCAAATTTCCCTTTTTTTTTAAATAAAGAATCTTGTTTTTTAATAGTTGCTTTTCCATGCAGTTATTTTAGATTATCTCCTTAGATGTATATTCCAGTAAAGGATAAATATTTCTTCAAGTTGTGTCTAAGCTGCTGTTATTAAACCCATCCATTGATATTTCAACCTCACTGCCAAGACTGGTCATTTCTCAAAGTTCTCCTTTGATCTTTTTGACCTCTTTTGTAATTTACTTTCCTTTTCTTTCTTTTTTTGTTTTTATATATTTTAATTAACATACAATTAAATTGACTTTTTTTTGTCATAGAAGTCTTACCAATTTAACACAAATATAAATTCTTATAACTACCACCATAATCAGAATAAACAACAGTTCCCTAATACCAAAAAAAAAACTCCCTCATGCTGCCCTGTTTTAGATATAACTCCCACTCCCACTCCTGTGCCCCGGCAACCGTTGGTCTGTTCTTCATCAATAGAGTTTTGCCTTTTCCAAATAGAATCACACAGTATGTAAACTTTTGCAACTGGCTTATTTAACTCAAGATAATACCTTTGAGATCATCCCTGTTGTTGCTTGTATCAATATATTTTTCCTTTACATTGCTGAATAGTATTCTACTATATGAGTATTCCATAGTTGACCTATTTACCCACTGAAAGACATTTGGGTTGTTTCCAGTTTTTTGCTGTTATGAATAGAAGTTATATAAACATTTGTATAGAGGGTTTTGTGTGAATGTAAGTTTTCATTTCTCTTAGTTGGGGTAGGCAAACTGATTTACAGACCAGCTGCCCATTTTTATAAAAGTTTCATTTAAACACAGCCATACCCATTCCTTTACTTATTG